TATAAGCCTTGATCTGAGGTGTCCGTAATGCACTAAGTGTGGATCAACGAAGAAACCAGCTACTTGTGCCCAATGATGCAAATTCGATTCTCTGTTATTCCTAAGTTCTTGATCCTGATTTGTCTCATCCTCTACTATCTGGATCCACATATTTCCTTCCCACCATCTGCTTATCTTCGGATCTGATTGTATACCGTCGAATGCTTACCTTGTTTACTTGATCCTGGATCGCCTTGAGTAATCATATCTGGATCAAGTGTAATTATACCCAGATCTGGCACCTAAGATTAGGTTCTTCTAGATCGTTCCAATCAACTCAGAATCAGTTGATCTGAGCCCATCAGACCTTCTCAGATCTGGATCCATCATAGTCACTGCAGATCCGGGCGTACCTGTTACTCCACTTGATCCGGTCACTTCCTGTCTGCAATTTCTCGGATTCCACTTCACCACACAACCAAGAAGAACCGAGACTGCGGTTAGTAGTCCCAACTACGATGATCCAGGAGGTTTATCAAAACAACCACGACTCATTGGAAGGTGGACATCAAGGAGTAGTGAGGACATACCAACGAGTGAGGCAAGATTATTATTGGTTTGGCCTTTATGCAGACGTCGAGAAACACGTGAAATCATGCCCAGATTGTAGTTCAAGTAAGAGCAAACCGTAGCTAAGAGGATAATCTCCTGTTAACATTCTCGCCGAACGACCATTCCAGATGGTCTCTATGGACTTCGTAATTCCGCTGCCGAAATCTCGGCGAGGTAAACCTGCGCTGCTGCTATTCCAGTGTGCTTTCACGGGGTTTATCATTGCTAAACCAATGTCGAACACCAAAGCACTCAAAGTCGCTCAGGTATTTGAAGAATGTATTTACCGAAGGTTCGGGCACCGTCATTAATAAGGTATGATAGGGATCCCCGCTTCATGAGCGAAGTATTCCAAGCATTTGCTGAGATGATGCATTCGAGATCGAGAGCAACATTGAGTTATCGGTCACAAGCCAACGGGCAGCAGGAAAGATCAGTTAAGATGGTGATGCAGTCCGTAAAAGTCTATACCGAAGGCCCATTTCAGCAAGACTGGGACGAGATTGCAGAGCATCTAGTCTTTACCACCAACAACTCCATGGACACTACCAGAAAAGAAACACCTTTCTACTTAGTTCACGGATCGGATGCCAGCTCGACAATGAAGGCGATGTCGACGTCTCTTCGACACGGAACGTCGAAGCAGTCCGAAGCTTTAGCGTGGCTTCGAGAAGTCAACCGACAACAGGAAGTTGCGTGGCGAATGGCCCAGGAATATCAGCATACCGATACGTCACGAGAGCAAGACTTCATAACAATGCACTAAGTAAAATGGAGAAAGCGTCATTGCAACACAAGGAAACAGAGAGGCTCGACACGCCAATACGGCAAGGACTCAGCAACCAAATTGAAATCGAGCAAGAAGAAGTTGTTCGAAGCGGGAAGTCGAGCTTGGCTCTACAT